CTGATTGATAGTATCCTACCTACTCCTGTACCTTTACTGGACTCATCAGCAAAAAGCAATGAATGAGAAGATTTTATGCTTCCCCTGATAAGACCCATTTGCAGTTCCAGACAAGAGGATGCAACCATGGCTCCTACAATGTCTGGATTTAAACACTTCATGGTGCAAATGAGTTGCAACATTAAAAAGCAACTCACGGGGCACGATTCACCACATTTTTGCTCCAGTTTTTGGTCAGTGGAGTTACACCCCTATAGAACTGGAGCAATGCAGCGATTAATAAGGCGTAGCAGGGTTTATAACATTTCTTTTAAGCATGTGTTCACGGGTTTTCATTCAAACGGTATATTAACTGAGACATGTTCATAATTTAATGTTATTTTGTTTTCAGATCCCGAAGTAGGTTGAGCCCACAAGAAATCTGTGTGAGCAGGTGAAAAGTCCAGAGCAGCCTTCAATTAAGGGGTGGGTGAGCTGTCCCCTTGTAAACTAATCATTCTTAATATGTGCAGAGTCAGGCACTCACTAATTATTCTGTAGTTATTAAAGTCTAGTTAGCTTCTTTTACTGGAAGAAAAAGCAGCAAGTAAACACGGGAGAACTGAACACATCTAAGGCTCTTTTCATATTACAATTTCACCAGTCTGAATCTCCAGGGTCCAATTTCAGCAAAAGTCTTTGTGTCTAGTGGTTCCAGTCGCCCTGCAGAAGTACCATATCCAAAGGGAACCATTCCACATCTGATTTCACAGAAACAGCGTCAGTATCAATAAGCAGCACCTACTAATGATGGCCTAGTTAACAGTCACTGATAGAGTTAGGAAAAATGTGGTGTCTGGTGGTTAGCAAGCAAGACTCCAGGGATCTAGCTCTGCTTATTTTATCCTGTGCCATGATGGGTAAGTAATTTATTTTAATTTCATAGATGGAAAACTGAGCCTCAGTTTCCCCAAGTTTAGTTACTTGGAGCCGGAACAGAAGCCAAAGAATCAGGAAAGACCCTGGATGCCTCTCAGTCTCCAGCCACTAGACCACGAGAGTTGGTTCTACCATGTTCAGCTAAATAAGCCATAGCAAGGCTGAGGAAGGAGACTGAACTTCTTAGTTCATCAGGTCTTGGAAGCAGGTGGGCAAGTACTGATACCATTAGGTCATCAGAGTAATAGCACAGTGAGATACTCAGCTGGTCTTCTGCAACAGATACCTGGAATATGCAGGTCTTATCAGTGCTGTCAGCAATGTCACTGCTGGGCAGCATGTGAAACAAGAACACAAATACTGCCTGAACTGTCCAAATCATATCTTCAGTCAACTCTTCATCCCCAGAGTTCGTCGCCCACTCTTCCCATGGGCATGTTTAAGAGAGAGAACCTGTTGATTTTAATGTCACCTATTCATTACAATTCAGAAATCCTTCTGAAGGAGGAATGGAGAAAAAACATTCGCTGTGCTGAGATATTAAATACCCTCCCCCTGTGAGGAGTGCACAGAGTGGTAGCAGCATCAATAATTGCTGCTTGAGATTAAAAAAAGGAGAGAGGCCCATAGCAGCCGATCCGCCCCCTCACAGCTGTAAATTACTCAATCGTTAATGTCGCGGTGCTGAGCTGGAGCTGAGTCAGCTGTCATCGTGGCTGAATCATGGGGAATTTCATCTCCCTCCTGCTGCTGCCTCAATGCTGCTCCAAGAATCTTCAGTGTCGGAAGTACAGCTTAATTGCGCCACTGCTAGGAGGAAACCCAGGTCAGACATTTTTGTCCCTAACATTGGTTGATTGGTTATCTTTGCAAAGGAGACTGGGGGGTTGGAAAAGCAAGTTTGTGTCAATTTCTAAACTCTCCAGTCTCTCTCACTGTCGATAGCAGGCCTGACTCACTGCAGCAGATGGAGGAGAGATTCCCATTTATTTCTTACAAATCATTTCTAGTGACAGCCAAATAATGAATGGCAGTGCTTCATCAATATGTATGGAAAGAAAAGTACGATTTCTGAAGTGATATTTACATTTCCACAGCACTTTTCATCCACAGATCTCAAAGGTCCTTCTATTAATAACCGGTTTAAGCTAGGTCTCTATCTTTGTTCAACAGTTTTAGTAATACCCATCACTTATATTAGAGAGATAAGGGAGATGAGTTAATATCTTTTATTGCTCCTACATCTGTTGGTGAGAGAGATTAACTTTACACAGAGCTCTTCTGACCTGAAGAAGAGCTCTGTGTAAGCTCAAAAGCTTGTCTCTTTCACCAACAGAAGTTGGTCCAATAAAAGATATCACCTCACCCACCTAGTATCTCTAATATCCTGTGACCAACGTGGCTACAACAACACTGCAAACAGTACTTATATAATATTGAACATTTTCAAAGTGTTGAACCACCATTACCTAATCCTCAAAACACCGATGTGAGAGAAGTATAATATCCTGTTACAGATGAAGAAACTGATACAGAGAGGTTAGGCCCAAATGTTAAGAGGTAACCTCTGATCTTAAGTGCCTCAGTATTTGGGTGCCCATCTCTGGACACCTGGAGCCAGATCCTTATAGGCTCTAAATTAACATCAGCACTAGATGTAGTTGCTCAACACCACTAATAATCAGGCTCTAAATGTCTCTAGCTGGATACTCAAAACAAGAGGTACCCAAAATTGAAGACCACGTTTGAAAATTTGGGCCTTAATGTCCACAGAGCTGGGATTAGAATTCAGGAGTTTCTTGTTTGTAGCCGGGTGATCAATCCATTAGATGTCTCAATCTACAAATTTTATTTTACAGTTTATCTGATTGGGTAAAAGCCTCTATTGTTGTAATCCAATTGAAGAATTCTTGAGAAAATGGTGCACTGGGTCTTTGAGATCTGTTTTGTGAAATCTACTGGCTATACATACCCTTATTCTACTGTCAGTCTTGTCTTCCGAGCCCCTTTTGATCTTTATCAGCCACGTCTGCCGCAGTGAGGAGTTCTGCCTCCACTAAAAAGGTTTCCAAATGTTATGTATTCCTGAGTTGTCCTCTTAAAAAAGAAATCTCTGAAGCCCGGTTTGTTTTTAAAAAAATTTAAACTAAACACATACTAAAGATTAGTAAATTGTTCATGACCAAGTCCATCTAGAACTCATAATCCCTTTTGGTTTGCAGACTCATGGTCTCAAAAGCTTGGAGAGTCTCTCTGAATATGCTAATTCCACCGTCTTACTTTCATATATCAATGGGTTCACTGATACCTTTTTTGTTTTAAGGTAAGGATCCTCCCTGCATCAAACCTCTGTTCAAAAGGTTGCCTTCCACATGCACACCTCTGACTCCTTTTACCAAACCTGAATAGTAGAGGACTCCACAGATTCCATCATCCGCCTTCACCCAGCCAAACCAAATGTGTCTCTTGAGGAGAAACTGAGATTAGGAGACAAATTTGGGCAAATATTAAGTCTTTCTACTTTTTGCATTATATAGAGCAGTAAGCTTGGTGGACCTCTAAAACAAAAGCCTTTCCAGTATAGATCAATGCAGAGGTGGACACCAGAAGCACCAGGTTACAATCCATCTTGTTCTTTAGTCCTGTACTAATCTGAACAGCTTTAAAGTCATCAGTCTGGTATAAACTCAGGTCAGAGCTTTAGGTTACAACAGGAATCCATTCTCAAATAACTGTCATAGATCTTCCATAGCTTCCTCTGTTTCTCCCAAAGTGTAATGGCCTCCCCACATGAACACTAGTCAGGACCAGGCACAGGAAAGCAGTCAATCACTACATTCTTCTAATTATTCCAGGTTTCCTAAGTCTCACTGAGAATATTAGTCACAAATTAATATCTGACCCTTTGCAATGAAACCTTAGTCAGTTCTGTGAATTGCTCCAACTAATGTTCAAGACACCAACCCCTCATTCCTTGACTTAGTCATGTGTTTGCAAAACTATGATTTTTAGTGTTTTATGTGAGATGTAATTGCTTAATCTTACATTACCCATAAATCCAACTCATCACTTTGCTGTGGTCCAGGACATCAGCTTTTATTTCTCTTTCTTTGCATTTCTTATTCTTTAATTTGCATTATTTAAAGTGTATTTAAACCTCACTTATCTACATATGACCACACCATTACGATATGGTCCTGCATGGAGTCCCCAGTTTCATTTGGCTAACTGCTACACCAAGGTACAGATAACAATATATGATTGCTTCTTTGTATTACAGGTTTAAATACATTTTAAAAGACACCTACAGATGTTTTCATTTAAAACATCAGCTTCCTTAGATATTCTGTGTGGAGGCTTAGTTTGAAAAATGTCAAAATTTCCTTGGAGACTGTCAAATATTTATGAGAGTCTAAGAGATTTCAATTTGGAAATAATGAGGGCTGCTCAGCCAGAACAATGACAAATCTATTCCATTCACCTGCTTAGGGTGAGACACAGCAACACCTACAAACAGCAAACCCAGAGCAAATTGTACATTTTCCTCAGGTTCGTGAAGGCCTCTAAGAATCAGACCAGAAACTTCCTCTTCAGAGGGCCAGAATTCTAAAGCTTTTATTTTCCCATAGCGCTATTTATATCTTTTTATCAAAAGTAAGAGGAGGGAGGGATAATAAGGGTTGCTGAGTATATGTGTTCCAAACCGAATGAAGGACTCCTGTCAACTCATTCTGTGGAATGTTATCCATCTTAATCAGCATCCCAGCGGGTTCTCCAAGGGAATGTAGTCAGCAGAATCCTGAGTGAGTTAGAACTTGTGGCCTTGAGCAGACTGATGGGAAAGTCTTGCTTTACATAAGTACAAACAGAGAAAAGGAAAATTCCTCTTGTTTTTAACATCAAGCATTTTTTATATGACAGTCACTGAAACCCAAGAAACTGCAAAGCTTTTGTAAAAATAATTACCAGCTGAAATCGTTCAGAGTGAAATTCCTTCCTTCCCACACAAAGCTGGCTTAAGGCAGATGGATTTCACCCTGCCAATATGTGCACAGGCAAGAAATTCAGGGCCACTGAATCCAACCCTGGGCTACTTGGGGCTGGTATGAAGACCCTTTTTGAAGCACACAGGAGAGTATAGACACCCCTCACTTGCATGGCCATTCAGTCTAATTCCTTCTTCTGACAAGAGCCTCTCACTGCAGAACTTAAGTAGTGACACAGATGTTGTGTGAGATATCTGCATCCAAATTAATTTCACCTCAAGCAAATACAGTGGTAGCCACTCCAATGTCTGAGCGGCCTGTGAAATTTTCTGGGATATCACAATATAGATAATACAGTGTCTATTATGTGTCTAAGTATGTGTAGGGTCTGTTTGCATACGTGAAGACTTAACAGTTCAGCCGTATTATAAAACAAGGTATTTGAAAAGCAGCCAAACACCTGAGTTCAGCTTTTTCCCCCATCTAGAAGCATACAGAGAGGAGCTGTTTCTGATGTCAGTAGATTTTTCAGATAGGTTGTTTAAAAATGTATTTGTAATGGTAAAGTCTGTAATTAGATCCTGATACTCATTAGCAATCTTAAAGTGTTTATTTTAAAGCTTTGCAATTCACTTTTTAAATACCCTTTGCTCACATTTTGCTTTTAGAACTGTGATTATGGTAACATGAAAACAGAAAAAGGAACATCCTGATGCTAAATATATACCTCTTCCCCTCTACTGCCCTCCATATGTCTGTTTGTATAGAATTGGTCTCCTTTGTCCCTTCCCATCATCTCACCTCTGGTGGTGCGAGAACCTTCTCTTCTACAAAACTCCTTGTGTCAAGGACAACTTTCCTCTGTCTCCGGGACTCCATCTCTTACAATCTCATTTAAAAACATATTTTCTCCTTTTATGCCCCTAAATTTTTTCTCCCACCGCTATGGAAATATTGAGTAGGAGCAAAGAGGTTATATTACCTCTGCATTCGGCACTGGTATGACTGCTCCTGGAATACTGTATCTAGTTGTGGTGTCCACACTTCAAGAAGGATGTTGAAAAATCGGATTCAGAGAAGAGCCACCAGACCAGTGGTTCTCATACTATTGTACTGGTGACCCCTTTCACACAGCAAGCCTCTGAGTGCGACCCCCCCCCTTATAAATTAAAAACACTTGTTTATATATTTAACACCATTATAAATGCTGGAGGCAAAGCAGGGTTTGGGGTGGAGGCGGACAGCTTGCGACCCCCCCATGTAATAACCTCGCGACCCCCTAAGGGGTCCTGCCCCCAGTTTGAGAACCCCTGCACAAGACTAATTAAAGGGTTGGAAAACGTGCCTTATAGCAAAGGACTCAAAGAGTTCAATTTATTTCCTTATCAAAAAGAAGATTAAGGGGAAGCCTGATCAGAGCCTATAAATACTGTATCTACATGGGGAACAGACATTTTATAACGGAGAGTTCCTCAATCTAGCAGACAAAAGTCTAAGATGATCCAGTGGCTGGAAGCAAGACAAATTCAGACTGGAAATAAGGTTAACATTTTTAACAGTGAGGGTAATTAACCATTGGAACAACTTAGAAAGGGACTGTGGTGGATCAAGACTGGTTGTTTCTCTGGTGAGATGAGATATGCTCTAGTGAACTCAGGACTTTCCTGAATTAATTCCTACTTAAAGTCAATAGCTATGTCCTGTATTATGCAGGGGATCACAATGGTCCCTTCTCACCGAGGACATATGCCCCCTCTCCCCCCCCCAGAATTGCTGCTTGGCTTGTATTGAGCATGCTCAGTAACTTCTGCTGAAGCCACTGCCCTCACTCTGCCGCACAACTAGTGGCAGGTATGGGTCGTCTCTGCCTTCTGGCCTTAAAAATCTATGAATTATCTCTGAAATTGTACTGCTTTAGTCCGCAAAGTTTGCTGGGACACAGTTTGCATAAAAGATTGTATCAAAATAAAGTACGTATAATGCATATAGGCACTTACGTATGATGCCTTCTGTACTATCCACATGCTTTGGTAAGTAGTGCACTGAAAGATCACTCTGAAGGACTTCATCTGATGTTGCTCTGGCTAAAGCAGCAGCCAAAAATGAAGGGCAATTACTGAAAAAGAAAAACACAGGAAAGATATTTTCAAACTGATTTCACTAGGTAACTGGCAATCAGCATAATGCAGAACACTTACATTTGTAACACCTACATTTGAAGGTTGTCCAATATTTGTGAGAGTGCAGCAGATTCTTTTTGATAGGTAGCATTGCACTTCTGCAGCCTGAGAACCCTTCTTTGGATTTTGGTAGGCTTAAATTTCACTTCCAAGGGCCCTTCTTAAAAGCTTTTATGCCTCATTTTGCACCTTTAATTTACTCTTCAAAACTGGGGCTTTGAGCACACATGCAGAGCTTATGAATCCCACTACATTTACTCTATTTGCATTTACAAACCCATCCTGTCCAGTTTCTCAGTCTCTGCTCTTGATTCAAATTCTCAAAGGGCAGGGAGTTTGGAAACATTGCAAACAGAGACCTCCAGTTGCTCCTGTTAAACAATAGGGGAAAACATTTGCACAGCTAGCTAAATCAGTTTTTAACACATCTTCAGTAACCAGCAGGGACCAGGCCTCACTTGTTTAAAAATGAGTTGTGGTCTAGATTCCTAGCTACATAGGCTAGGTTAAAATATAGCTACTGAATCTGATTCACAGTTTGTCTCATCCAAAATGACTGGCTGAACTATATTAGAAACAGTTTTAGCTGGCATCATATGTTTAAGTACAATTTCTTAATCCATGTCTTTGTCCTATGTGGACAGAGCCTTAACCTCTGTTTAGGAAGATGTTTTTCTTTTCATCATAAAACATTTTCTGTATGTTCAGTCAAAGGACTGAGGGAATTATCTGACTAGTAATTAGACAGATGGGCAATGTCAATCCAGAAACGTCACCCACCCAGACCTGAGAAATCCAAGCATGAGGCGTTCCTCATGGTTCTAATTTTGAGCATGATCTCCTAGTTTCAACTAAAATAAAATTCAGATTTGCAAATGTATTTTCAAAATCATAACTGCACATTGCTTGAAACTACCTAAATAAAACCATAGAGAATTAGAAAGCTAACCTCTAACTGATAAGGGAGCGAGAGAAACTTCTCCTATGGCAAACTATCCCATCATCGTCTACTACAGAGTTTCTTACACCTTTATCTGAAGCATCTGATACTGACCACTGTCGAAGACAAGATATTGGACTAGATGGACTCAGGGATGAGATGGCCATACCTCATTTCTATCCTATGCACCAAATATGGATTTTGATAGACATGTCTCTTGAGCTCTGAGACGCATAAGGCAGTACTCTGAAGTAATTACATTTGGACTGCTGCCAACCAAAGAAACCAATGCTGTTCTACACTGACCCCATGGTAGCTTAGTTAATGTGGACTGAATTCCACAAAAGACTTCAGTCAAACCCATTTTGCTCAGTCTCTTTGAAAATCCACTTTATCACAATGCTTTCCGATACCATATTTGACAATGAACACCATTACAAACGGTAGATTTATAAGATGAGATTTTCACAAAGCTAAATCTTCCATCTATTTTAATAAATAGTATTTAATGTTTACATAAAGTTACTTAAACAGGATTAGAACTAAATACCAGCTTTTCCCAAAAGATACATTGTCATGAGGCACCTTCTGTCTCCAAGTTACTCAGAAAGCCACAGCTATTCTGATGTTACAACATCAGTAAGAGTCATTCCTTGAATTAGCAGTTGAGCATTCTACCTATACAGCTACTCCAAACCTCAGCAATATGCACGCTAATGAAGCATGACAACATGAGAACATTAACTATCTTAGGGCTGGATCTTCCCAGCACAAGACAAGAACTCAGATCCCATTTACATACAGCAATATCTTTTGGAAATGTACAGTAATCAGCAAGAAGGAAAAGCTCTGTAACTTCCTTTATTTCTAGTGTATGTAAAAGTTGATTCTCTACTTAGCCTTGTTTGTCTTTAGAGCATGAGGCATTTTTTTGTCATTTCTATTATTAACTCCTACACATCCGAAAAGCACTGTAGGTTACCAGTCATATTTTATGCAGTTTTCATGTTACAAGAGAAACAAGAATATGACGACTCCTGAGCTAAAAGAATTACAAACAATTATGTAATCAGAGCCAGCAACAATGTTAGACTCTCTATCTGAAGACAGTTTGAAGCAGAAATGTATGAACATAATTTTGCCTAGTCAGAACTTACACAAACCTCAGCAAAAGCAAGAAAGCTTATGCTGTACATGTGTTTCTAAACACAACTCTCTCAGACAGAGCTCACTTTACAGAGGAATGAATAGAGTCTATGATACTATGCATGGAATATGAGTTTGTTTCCCAACCCTAATCTCTTCCTCCTTGCAGTACCAATGTGGGAGAGCTATGGAGAAAGCACACTTCTAGCGAAAGAAGTGTGCTTCCCATCACTCTCAAACAATCCCTCTGGACAGTTAAGGAGTAGCACTGATGGACATCAAATGGAGAGTCCTGCTAAGATGATGGCAGGTACAATTAAGATTCTCAAGGACATAAAAAGCTAGGGCAAAAATATAGTAGGAATCTTGTTTCAACGGGGACCCCACGTAAGGTGAAAATAAACACCCTGTCATTAGCATTCACACATAAATAATTGGTTTTATTATTTTACCCTGTAATGGCATGTTATAAGAAGTGAGGTGTATTAGAATGTATAGAAGTAAGTGGCTGGTCAGAGCCTTTCCCAGCCGGCTTGCCAGTAGCTAGCTACACGTCCTCGCACAATACAAATGTGATGCCTGCAGTCTTGAACTGGAGCTCTTTATCTAAACAAGGCATACATTTCCATTACAATGCCAAACCTACATAAAAGCTACTAAATGCATTATTTAGACAAATTAGAGGTTTTTAAGTACATCCTTCCTGATTCTTTGGCAGCGTGGGTGTCTGTACAACACCCACAGTTGCATTTCAACAATCTTGGGATAACTCTGCTAAGGTAATAAGCAAGCTTGAATGTGGGCAGCCTCCATCAATTAAGTTTGAGAGAAACAGTCTGAAGTAGGCTTAACTCAGCCCACATACTATAATGATACTTGCTTACCACACACCTCTGCTTCTTGCCGATAGCACTGGAGTGATGAATTTCCAAACATTTCCCCTCAGTTATTTATCTGTGTTCTAAATCTAATATAAAATCCTCACCTAAAAATGGGAAAGGCAGATTTAACACTCTACTGTATAAAAGGCATCACAGAATGTAGACTGACTTGTTTATCAATTCTGATGGACAAGATGGAGAAAAACAGCTTTCTTTTGTACGGCTGGCTATTCTCTGTTCTAACAGTAACAGCAGACTGCCACAGAATTAATTGACTTTGACATTTGTACATCACAAAGCTTCTTATGGAGCTTTTCTAGGACTATGCACTGCAAGCAGTGAAGTGACCAGTTGGAGGTGTGTGTGTCCTTGATTAGTACAACAGAAATTTCATTTCTGCTGCTTCTGGCAATGGACCTTAGGTGGATTGCTTCTCCCCTACAATGTCAAGAATAACAGACTAAACAGGAGGTGGGGATGCCTGTTTGGAATAGATTTTGAACTCAGTTACACTGCAGTAAGTCCAGAATAACACCATTTATTTCAGTGGTGTTACTCTGGATTTATCCCAGTGTAACTGAGATCAGAATCAAGTTCAGTACCTTTGCTTTTATCACAAAGAATGAATGTTCACTAGAGAGCTTACAGTACCACTTAACTCACGAAAATGGTCATCCACAAAGACTAGTACTTGAATTGTAACATTCCGTCACACTCGATACTCCTAGTCTATCCTCACCTCACCCTGTACATAGAACAGGAATAGAAATGATGCATTATATCAGTAGTTCTCAAACTTTGGGGTTTGGGGTAGAGGCTGACAGCTTGCGACCCCCTGAGGGGTCCCAACCCCCAGTTTGCGAGCCCCTGCATTAGATTTTTGGGTGCAGTGCAGCTGCTTTGCACCGCACATCTGTGCCAAAGGATTCCCTCCATCTCAGGGGATTATCCACTGGCTGGTTGAAAATAAAACATTTTGCCAAATTTTATCAATCACCAAATTATGGCAAATAAATTGAAAGAGGGAGAATATGATCCAGCAGTGTAGCAAAGGCTGGGCATTAGGATTCCTGTGTTTATTCATTCCTAGCCATGATAATAACTCACCATGTGACCTTGAACAAGTCACATCACCTCTCAGTCCTTCAATTTCCTCATCCATAAAGGAGGGTGATAATACTTAATATATCCCTTGGGCATTGTGGGAGGATTAATTAAATGTTGGTAAAGCAATTTGAGATTTCTAGATAAAGACACTATTGAAGGGCAAAGTATTGTTATTCTAATGGAAGAGATTTTCTAGCCAAGATTTATGGACCTTTCATATTTTCTTTTTTGTTCTATCTTCCCTGCTCTCGAACATCATGCCAGAAACACTTAAGTGGCAAGCCACACAAGGCACATTTTGTCTCTCTGATGTGCACAGCCAACATATGGGCATAACCAATTGCATCCTTCCATCATATTTGAAGTAAATAGGTTTTTTTGGAAGCTCAAGCTTCTCAAAGAAAAAAAATGTGAGTGTAAGAAAAGATCACGTTCTTACTTTAAGCTCAACAATGCTGAGTTCAGCTGGAAGTTGCTTCTACAGCATCAGATATGGCATTGCTGATTAAAAGGCTAGGAAACAACAACAACATTACAAGCAAAGGGGGTCCTCTCCTCCTCCTTCCTCACCACCAGTCAAAATATGTAGATTAAGTGACACCAGTCTCAGGAGGGTCCTTGTACTATCATCATCCAGTGTAACTGACTTTGGCATTATTGATGCAAATAAAGTAAAAAATGGGAGAAGGTACTCTTATGGCCTTCAGAGATCACAATATTCAGAGGGTCCTGTGGCACCTTTAAGACTAACAGAAGTATTGGAGCATAAGCTTTCGTGGGTGAATGCCCACTTCATCAGGACCCTCTGTTGCTTTTTACAGATTCAGACTAACACGGCTACCCCTCTGATACTTGACACAAT